TTCAGAAACTGGAAGCGCACCCAGGACACCTCAGCTGACATGGAGAGTGGGGGCCTTTAGGGTTTAACAGCAAGGACCAGGCAGAGGAGGAAGAAAGGGGTGAGAGAATGAAGAAGGCACACATTTTGGCTGCCACAATTACAGGTCTGTCTCAAGGCGACCCTAGGCAACAGAAACACTCCAGACAAGGGGTGACAGGGCCTCAACCAGCAGCAATAGGACTGAGGCACAACCAGTGTTCTTATCATAAGAAGGAGGGGCACTGGGAAAGGCAATGTTCGTTCTATCCTGGGAAGTCATGACAGAATGAATCTCCCCAACCCGGTCCTCTCGATGCTAGACTCTTGGATGAAAAGGCCACCCTCTCTGCTGGATGGAGTGCTCCAGCTCCACGTGCTTGGCTGCCTGCAGTCCTGAAGATTTCTATTGGCATCACTGCTCCAAAGCCTCAGGTCACTTTCAACATGGCAAGCAGGAAACCTGAATTAACTATTCGACACTGGGACCACCTACTCTGTCCAACCCAACCTGTGGGACTTCTGCAATGCCCACTGTATGGTGATAGGAACAGACGGCCATGACCCAACCTGTGGGACGTCTGCAATGCCCACTGTATGGTGATGGGAACAGACAGCCAGGAGAAGGTAAAATGATTTGCCTTTCCTTTGACTTGTGAAATTGGATGCAAGGCTATTACTCATTATTTCCTATATGTCTGTGACTGTCCCCTTCCGTTAATAGGTCATGATTTATTATCCAACCTGGGAGCCTCAGTTTCCCTCCAGGGGAATGCAATTAAGTCTCAGTACCTCTGTAGAAGGGAATCCGGTTTTTGGCCTTTTTGGCTCCCAAACATCAGAAGCTGCCTCCTGTCCTGGAAGAGATATTGGCTCAAGTGGCAAAGTTTATATGGGATGCCGGTACTCTGGAACAAGCCATCAATTCAGAGCCTATTAAGATAAAATTCAAGCCAAGCATACCCCACCCATGCAAGCCCCAAATACCCTGTGAGGCCAGAAGCCCTACAGGGGATACAGCTCCTCCTGGAAAAACTCCCACAGCACAGGCTTATTCAGCCCTGTCAATCACTTCGTAATACCCCAGTCCTGCCCGTGGAGAAACCCAGTGGGGAATGCCGATTTGCTCAGGACCTTAGGGCAGGGAATGACTCAGTCGTTCCCAGTCATCCTACTGGGTAGGGTGGGTAGTTTCCAGTCTACCCACACTCCTCTCTCAGATCCTGTGCACTCAGTTCCATGCAGTGCCGGATCCAGAGGACACCTTCTTTTGTATCCCATTGCATCCCAAATTCTCCTATATTTTTGCCTTTGAATGGAAAGACCCAGAGACCCAGGAAACTTCCCAATGTACAGGACTACCCCAGGGGTTTCAGGATAGCTCCTACCTCTCTGGGCAGGCCCTGGAAAAATACTTCAGACATCTTAAACTTGCGAGTGGAAACATACTGCAGTATGTGGATGACTTGCTTATTGCTAGTGAGGGCTTCCATAGTTTTCAAGAAAATACTATTAAAACCTTAAATTTCTTGGCTGAATGGGGATATAAGGTCTTCCCCTTAAAGCCCCAGATCTCCCAGACACAGCTTCAATACCCAGGGTACAGGCTTACGCGAGAAGCCAGGATGCTTGCCCCAGACTGAAAGCAGGCCGTTGCTTCACTCAGTCCCTGGTGGGAGAAGACAGCTGTGCGGATATCTGCGGATGGCTGGCTTCTGCCGGGTTTAGATCCTAAGCTTTGGCCTCATAGTTAAACTCACTTAAGTGTGGAGAAAAACAACCAACGCACTGGGCAGAAACCTGTCAGCAAGCATATGAAACCCTAAAATCTGAGTAATGGGGGCCCCTGCCCTAGGACTCCCAGATTTGCAGGAGCCTCTCTTTCTATCTGTATATGACAGGCTTGGGCAAAGCCTGGATGTCCTAATTCAGAAGCTGGAGTCCTACAATGGCCAGTGGTTACTTTTCAAAGCAATGCAACCCAGTGGCCCATCTTTAGAAATGACAGAAACAAAACAGAAAAAGAAAGTGCAGTGCTCATATCCCCAAACTGTAGTGTAATATCTGTGAGCATTTCAGGGAAGCTGCTGCCAGGAGGACCTGCAGAACTCACCCTGCAGGGAGGGAGGTGAGGCCAAGGGGTGGGGCGGGTCCCACACTCGCTGTCTCTTGCAGTGTTCCCCCGGGCAGTGCCCTGAGCCTTTGCTCCTCCTCACCTGGAGCCTGGAACCCAGGTGGTGGCCACAAGAACTGAGGCTGCAGGCCTGTCTCTGGAAGTAATACACGGGATCCCTGAGGAGCCATGGGAGCCAGGAGCACCACCACCTGCTTGCCTCGCTCCTTCCCCCTGCACGGCACTGCAGCCTTGGACACCCCAAGCCCAGGCAAGGAAGGGCCAGGTCTGGCAACTTCAAGTCCCCCAATAAACTGCCAGTGACCCATCCCAAGCTGCCCAAACCCATTGCGTTAGAGTGATAGGGAAGTTGTGGGTCCCTCCGGCTTTTGTGGGTACTAAGACCACTGGGTGCCTGGCACTGCTCTGGCCCTGAGACTTGGCAGTTAGGAGGCCAACCAGGCCCTGGCCCCCTGGCTTCAGGGTCCCACATGGACAAAAGTATTCCCTGCTCATGTATTCCCTGTGTGAGACTTTGGCAAGGTCACTGCGCCCTGGGAGAGGTTCCCTGCGCAAGGAGAGCCCTGGGGATCTCGCCCAGTCTCCAGGCCCAGGAAGGGGAAGATGGAAGAGGAGGGAACAGCATGTGTGTGGGAGGGGAGCTGGGAGGGCAGAAGCTGGGAATGAATGTGCAGGGTGGGGGCAGGGACAGGGGCCAAGGAGGCCTGAAGGGTGGGGGAGGCCTTGGAAGCTCCACTGGTCTCTCATTCAGCAACCTTCACTGATGCTGCAGAGCTGGAAGGACATCGTGGTTAACCCAAATGAAACTCCCAGCCCCCAACCATCGGAATGGGCCCCTCCTCTTGACCAAGGACATTCCAGAGTTCACCTGAAACACCAGTTGGGACCAAACCAATGTGCAGCCTACAAGCATTCTCTCCCTAAAATGTGTAGAACCGAGTCATAGCCAGACCACTTGATACATGTTCTTGGGGTCTTCTGAGACCCCACCTTCTGAGGCAGTCTGAGGCCACAGTCACTTCTGTTTGGCTCAGAAAACATCTCTTCAAACATTGCACAGTGTTTCAGCCTTTTTCTTGGCCGGGGACAACGTAGGTGACCGGGAGGCTGCATTCTTTGAGCAATGGCCAACAGTCTCAACGGCTGTGATCTCAGTCCCTTGATTCCCAAGGGGCCGCCCCTCCCTGGGCCAGACGGCTCAGAGTCGAGCCACGACAAGGTGACACGACAGGGACAGTGTGAGCCACGCTGGGGGAACCATGCTGGGGGAGCCACCCTGATAAGCAGTGAGCTTCCTGTTCCTGGGGCTACCGAGCAGAGAGCCAGGTGCTCCCCCAGGAGCTCCTCCTTCGAGGGAGGTACAGAACCCAGGAACCCGAGCCCAGGCCCAGGCCTGACTCAGGAGCTTGTTTAACCCAGCAACTCCGGGACCCCATCCCCCGTCACTGGCATCCGCTGTCATTTAGAACCTGCGGCTGGCAGGGAGCTGCCCCCCACCCCTTCTATGGGCCGCGTTTCCTCCCCAGCCTCGTAGAGCACAGGGTGGCCAAGCTGCCCAACAGCCCGCTGGGCCCGCGCCCCAGTGCCTGGCGACACTCGGAGTCCGCTGCTGAGTCATTTACGCTCACCCGGGCTCCTCCCCTCCCGCCCAGCCCTGAGTTGCTCGGGTTTCAAAAGGGACGAAGGGCGGGAACGCTCGGGAGGAGCCTGGGGCCGGCGGGACGTTTGAGGTGTAGAACGAAAGTTTAGGGCGAGAAAGGAGGTACTGGCTGGGCTGAAAATGGGCGTGGGGACCAGAGCGTGACGCCCCCTGAGCGCTGCGGGCGCCCTGCGGGCTGGGGTGGCTGCGGTCCTGCAGCAGGAGCTGGGCTCCCGTAGAGTCCGCTGCAGCGCCGCTGGCGACCGGGCTGGGGCCCATTTTCCAAGGAAAGTCCCGCGGCTTCGGCTGCGGAGGTGCTGGAGGCTTTGCGCTCAGATGAGGGGCCGGATGCCAGGGCCGGGCCCGTCTTTGGTGCGGGGCTGGCGAGGGGCGCGCGCTGCTGGGGAGGTGGAGACGCCGGGGCGCCCGGGCACCCTCGTGCCTGCAGCGCCGCGCACGGCCGCCAGGTGCCGCTGTGACGCCCAGCGCGCGCCCCGCCCCAAACGCGTCAGAGGCGCTGGCCGGGGCTGCGGGTCGGACCACGCAGGGCGCGGGGCGGGGGCGGCAGGCGTGGGCAGAGCTCGGGCACCTCCCCCTTGGTCGGCCGCGCGCAGTGGTTCCGGCCGCGCCGCGCTCGCGAGTTCCTAGGAGGCCTGGCGGGCCCCGCAGCCGCACCCAGCGCCCGCCGCCGCCGCTGCGATGCTGGGGCTGCTGGTGGCGCTGCTGGCCCTGGGGCTCGCGGTCTTCGCGCTGCTGGACGGCTGGTACCTGGTGCGCTTCCCAGGCGCCGTGCTGTGCGCGCGCCTCCTGCAGCCGCGCGTCCGTGACCTGCTGGCGGAGCAGTGCTTCGCGGGCCGCGTGCTGCCCTCGGACCTGGACCTGCTGCTGCACATGAACAACGCGCGCTACCTGCGCGAGGCCGACTTCGCGCGCGTCGCGCACTTGACCCGCTGCGGGGTGCTCGGGGCGCTGCGGGGGCTGCGGGCGCACACCGTGCTGGCGGCCTCGTGCGCGCGCTACCGCCGCTCGCTGCGCCTGCTGGAGCCCTTCGAGGTGCGCACGCGCCTGCTGGGCTGGGACGACCGCGCGTTCTACCTGGAGGCGCGCTTCGTCAGCCTGCGCGACGGCTTCGTGTGCGCGCTGCTGCGCTTCCGGCAGCACCTGCTGGGGACCTCGCCCGAGCGCGTCGTGCAGCAGCTGTGCCAGCGCAGGGTGAGCGACCCCCGGCCCCGGCGCACGGCCTTTGCGGGACCCCTGGGAGCTCCTGGTCCCCGGCCCGCTCTTGCACCTCTTTCGGGTCCTGCTACCATCCTGCCCCTCGCCGCTCCCGCCCCTCCCTCTCTACCGGGTGCGTTCCTCGCTGATGCCTTTCTTCCTGGGGGTTCCTGGGGTCCCTGAATCAGCTCTTCCTTCGGGCTTACCGTGCTTCCCTCCTGTCCTTTCTCACCCTGGCCCCTCATGGTTTACTGTCGACCCCTCCGCTCGCTCCTGAGACCCTAAGTCCGGATGCTGTGCTGTGTCTGGAGTGCTGACCTTCCTCTCTGGTCCTTGATCCTGAACATACGCTGGAGGGGTTACCAGTTAGGTTAGGTTTTTGGGAGTTCCCGAGGACCTGAGGTCCCCTTTCACACAGCTTAGGGCTGGGTCCTGGACACCTGCGTTGGGGTTGAAGGGCTGAGCCGGGGAGCTGCAAGCCTTTTGACCTTTCTGCAGTTGGAGAGGGGTGGGCCTGGCGCCTCACCAGGGCTCGCTCCTTTCGGCAGGGCAGAACCGCCCCTGCAGCACGGAACTGGGGCCCTGGGGACGGCCACCGGACCGACGTCGCCAGAGCAGATGCCTGAAAAGCTGCCAGGAGCATCCAGGCAGGAAGCCAGGGCCTGCCCACCCCTCGTGTGCCTTTAGGCGGAGCACTGCCCTCCCCGGTCTCCCACAGGTGCCTCCCGAGCAGAGGAGGGTCAAAGTGTCACCTCAGTCCTGGTGTTATAGGAAAGGGGCCCCGATCCAGACCTCAACAGAGGGTTCTTGGATCTCGCATTAGAGAGCATTCAGGGCAAGTCCGCAGTGCAAAGTGAAAGCAGGTTTGTTAAGAAAGTACAGTGGTGAAAGCATTGTGCTCTAGAGACACAGCAGGACGTTCCACCCCAGGTGCACTGCTTGCATATGTGGGGACGTGTGCTCTGCTACAAGGGTGTGTGATAAAGGATCAATTTTCTTAATTACTCTATTTTGCAAGAGTCGATATTACTATCTTTTAAAGCGAAATTAGGAGCGCCTTTGTTCTCCAGATAGTGGTATATCTGGACCCTCCCAAGTCTGGTCTGTTCAGTAAATATTATCAATTTGTCTCCTTAACCATAAACATTTCGAGGCCAGGAAGCCTGGTTTTCTGAGAATGCAGCCCAGTAAGGCCCAGCCTGATTTTCCTACCCCTCACTCAAAATGGAGTCTCTGATTGAAACGCCTCTGACATTGAGAGGTCATGTCAGGGCTGGGGAGACGGGCTCGGAGGAGCAGTGGCTCTGTCCAAAGCTGCACAGCAGGCGGCAGGGCACAGCTCCCTCGGCTTCTGTTTCTGTTGAGTCATGTGAACCAAAAAGCATCCGAGATAGGTCTCAGTCGGTTTAGAAAGTTTATTTTGCCAGGGAGAAGGACGCACCAGTCCTGGTGACATGCCCAAGGTGCTCGGGGTACAGCTTGCTTTTATACATTTCAAGGAGGCGCAATACAATCAATACATGTTAGAGTCACATTGACCCCATCTGGAAGAGGACTTCCAGGTCACAGGTAGATTTGAAGTTTTCTGGTTGGCAGTTGGTTGAGAGCTGTCGTCAGTAGGAAGGTGAGTCTGGGTTAAGATGGGGTCGTGGAGACCCAGGTTTCATTATGCAGGCGAAGCCTCCAGGCAGCAGGCTTCCGAGGGAACAGATGGTGAACGTTTCCTGTCAGACTTAAGGTCTGTGTTGTTGATGTCGGAGGCATTAGAGGTCTGGCGCACACCCTCTTCCATCGTGGCCTGAGCTAGTGTTGCAGGTTAAGTTTGGAGGGCCCTGGCCTGTTGGAGGAAGTTCATTCAGATGGTTGCGGGTACCTTCCGATGTTATTTTTGGGTTATCGTCAGGAATCCCCTAGAGGGCCTGGATGTCTCTCTGCCCCCAGGTGCTGGGCTCTGTGTGTCTCTCATGCATCTAGAGTGTGGGGGCAGGGAGGAGGCTGCCAAGGCTGAGAGCCGGGTGCGGAGGCCGAGGAGATGGGGAGCAGGGTTGCTTTTCTGAGAGGGAGGGCGTGATGAAATCAGGCATGGCTGGTTGGTGAGGTCCATGTGTGAGGTGAAGGCTGGGACCCAGAACAGCAGAGACCCTGTGATGAGGTGGAAGAGCCATGGGTGTAGCTTGGAGCAGGCTGAGCCAGGTTGGGGACCTGCATGCTGAGAGGCTGGCGGGGGTGATGTGACCAGAGAGGAAGGGCAGGAGTGAGTCTTGGTCGAGCGGTTGAAACTAGGCAGGGAGGGGAGTGGTCCAGGGGAGAGTCCAGGCCCAGCTCTGCTGGGACTTGCAGGGGGCCCAGGTCATCTGCAGGGAAGGTCTGGGCTCTGTCTCTGTGTGCTACTCACCCTGAAGCAGGGGTGGGCGTGTGCTTGGCCTCTCCCCTCATCCTGGGAGCTCCCAACGCCCATCTGCAAGGCTGTGGACCCCTCAGGAGAGGCCTGGAGCCCAGCTCCCATTGCCACATGGTGGCCCTGTGTACAGAGAGGGTTGAGAGTGGAGGGCTCAGGCCCAGGTTGCCCTTGGAGATGAAGTGCTGTCCTCTGGGTGCCCTGTCTGGTGCCTTCCCAGAGGAGGGCTCCATGCTGGCTCTCCGTTCCTCTGTCTGCTGTCACCGTGAGGCCTCTGGATTTCCTGTCTGTCCTTCCCAATGTGCCAACTTCTTGGGCTTCTGTCTGGGTTCTGGGGATGGCCCCTAGGGGAGATGGGCCTGGCACAGGCGGGGCTGTGTCAAGGTGGGTATTCGAGGGTAGCACAAGCATGCAGGGCCTGGGGAGGCATGGGCACAGCCTGGCAGGTGGTGGGGCGGGGACTCCTGGAAGGTCACGGGCTGGGGAGCAATGTGGCCAACAGCCCAGAGGTGGAAAGGCAGCAGCTTGGCTGGGTCTCCCTTTCTGTCCCTTGCAGGTGGAGCCCCCTGAGCTGCCGGCGGACCTGCAGCACTGGATCTCCTACAACGAGGCCAGCAGCCAGCTGCTCCGAATGGAGAGTGGGCTCAGTGATGTCACCAAAGACCAGTGATTGCCACCTTCACACCCTGCCTGCCCCAGCCATCATCCTGGGTCTGGGGGCTGTGCAGAGATGGCAGGCTGGGCTGCCCTCTTCCAGCTGGAGGGGCCTCTTGACCAGCCTGACCCACCCCCCTTCACCTGCAGGGCCCCCCAGTTATTGACACCCCTCTGCTGGGCTCCAGGCTAGGCAGAGGGAGGGAGTGGCATTAGCAGTCTGACCCAGCTCTGACCTCAAGGTGAGGATGGATGGGCAAAAGGGAGCCCCGCCCTGCCCCACAGTGCAGCCATTCATGGGCCTACGTAGGGAAGGATGGTGCCTGGAGCAGAGGGACCCACAAGTGCCTCCTGCACTGCTGCAAGGGGCAAGGCAGGGCTAGGCCAGAGCGTCCTGGGTACACGGGGCCTGGCGTGCTTCAGGTGTAGCAGGCACTCCTGAAGGCTCAGAGGAACATGCTAAACACAGAGGGCAGAGTAGGTAAGGAGACGCCTGCCGGGCAGGCCACGAACAGGTGGCTCTAAGGGGGTGCCTGCCAGGCAGCCCCCTCTGGCTTCTGCTGAGGTGGATGCAGGCCTGGGGCAGAGCCTGGATGGTCAGAGGCTGGATCTGGAGGTGGAAGGAAGGGAGGCATTTGCCGGCAGAGGACAGGGCACCTGGATCCCTGTTGCAGTCGGGCTTGCCTCCTCCTCCCCAGGCAGGCTGGGCGGGAGGGTAGCCTTGTGGCCAGGAGGGACCAGACCAGGTAGCACAGGGGTTTCTGGAGAGGCAGCAGGCTTCCTGCTGGGGCGCCCTTGGAGAGAACGGAGCAGGTGTCGGACTCTGTGGGGTACCCTTGGCCACTCGCACCCCTCGGTGCCCACCAGGGCCATGCTCTGTGACCTTGGGCTGGTCCTTGCCCTCTCTGGGCCTATAGCACCACAGGCCTCTGCACCCCCTTAGAGCCACCTGTTCGTGGCCTGCCCGGCAGGCGTCTCCTTACCTACTCTGCCCTCTGTGTTTATCATGTTCCTCTTCAGCTGCTGGGCCGGCCCTGCCTTGCAATAGCACAGCCTTTCCTGGCAGCTTCTCAGTCCTCCCTGATGGAGACATCAGGCTGCCAGGATGCTGGTCAGGGCCACCCACTCCTGCCTAATGCCTCATGGGAAAGCTGGGGAAACTGAGGCCTGGAATGGCCCAGAGTCACTGAGGCAAAGTTGTGGCTGCCCCAGACTGAGGCTCCACTGATGCCCTCAGATTCCAGGGAGAGGGTACCCTATCTAGCCAGGTGCAGGGGTCACTGCTTGTCTGCTCAGGGCTGTGTGCCCGCCCGCCTGTGCCCCTGCACACTGGGAACTGCCTCCTTGCTGCCGCCTCCAGGAAGCCCACCTTGAGCCAGAGCCAGGAGGTGCAGCGCTGGGCCTGATGGAACCCTCCCTACCCCCACCACTTCTGTTCTTAGAGCCATCATGGGAAAGCTGCAGTCTTTCTGTTGTATTTAAAGAAAGCCCAACATTAAAGGGTTTTCCTTGCAAGTATGCTGGGGACGTCCTTGTTTCCAAGCCCTCACCACCACTGCCATCCAGCCAGGGGCTGAGATGGGACCAGGGAAGCTGGGGCCCATTCCCAGGATGGGTTTTCTGGCATGGAGGGCTATCTAGGCTGGTGGGGCTCCCATGAATGGAGGGATCAGGCTGGCCGGGCATGACTTGTCCCTATCCCTCAGGGCATAGGACTGAAGCCAAGAAGGTGCTGTGCAAAGTCCCCTGGGGAGCCCACCCTGCCCTGGGGAGCCCTCCCTGCCCTGGGGAGCCTTCTCTGCCCTGGGGAGCCCTCCCTGCCCTGGGGAGCCTTCTCTGTTCTGGGGAGCCCTCCCTGCCCTGGGGAGCCTTCTCTGCTCTGGGGAGCCCTCCCTGCCCTGGGGAGCCTTCTCTGCTCTGGGGAGCCCTCCCTGCCCTGGGGAGCCCTCCCTGCCCTGGGGAGCCCTCCCTGCCCTGGGGAGCCTTCTCTGCTCTGGGGAGCCTTCTCTGCTCTGGGGAGCCCTCCCTGCTCTGGGGAGCCCTCCCTGCCCTGGGGAGCCTTCTCTGCCCTGGGGAGCCCTCCCTGCCCTGGGGAGCCTTCTCTGCTCTGGGGAGCCTTCCCTGCCCTGGGGAGCCTTCTCTGCTCTGGGGAGCCCTCCCTGCCCTGGGGAGCCCTTCCTGCCCTGGTGAGGTCTTCCTCCTGGTTCCCAGCCTTTTGAGGCTTACAGCTCCATCCACAGATACCAGCCCCAGGTTCCCAGTCTCCCTCCTTCAGGGGTTGCCCTGGGAGGTCATGCCCCAGACTCTGGGTCTGGGCCACCAGGCTTCCAGAGCCTTGGGCAGGGTGCAGGTAGCTGTAGGGGGCAGAGGTCCATGGACTTTGGTGGGTGGATGGGAAGCAGAGAGAGCACAGGGACTGTTGTGCAGTCCCTTCGAAAGAGGTGGGGGAAGTGGGACCCTCCGGGACATAAAGGTGAGTCAGGTGGGGTGTGGCCACTTCCATGCTCTCACCACCTTCCCAGGAGATTCCAAAAGGCTCCAAGGGCCAGGGAAGGATTGGGCGGCTGGAAACTGACGAAACAGGCATTTAGTGATGGGGCAGTGGGGCTGGAGAGGGGAAGCCACCTTTCTTAGCAAGTCTGGGGTCTGCAGCCAGGACGGTTGGCCAGAAGCCTCTGCTGTTTATGGGGGGTGGCTCTTGGGGAGGTGGCTCTTGGGATCTCCATGGGTGTCTGAGCTGAGTGTTGCCAGACAAGCCTCCCAGTGGGGTCGCAGAGGAAGCTGCAGGCATGCCGTCCAGCCAGTGGTCCTGAGCAGCTGCCTGAGCAGTGGAGCAGGGCAGGGGCTGCAGGACAGGGTGCCTGGGCCTTGGGTGGCACCATGTGACGATGCCACTGCTGTCCCTGGCTCAGCAGCTGTCCTTGGTCATGGAAGGTATGTCGGCCTGGATGGGGAGTTGGGCTCAATGACTGGACTAGGGATGAGTGTATCCAATGTGTATCCAATGTGCATGTGTGTGCCTGTGTGCATATGCATGTGTGTGTGCATAATGTATGTGTGTGCCTGTGTGTGTTCGTGTGTGTGCACATGCATGTGTGCCCCTCTGCGTTCGTGTGTGTGCATATGCATGTGGGCCTATATGTGTTGGTGTGTGTGCGCATATGCATGTGCGTGCCTGTGTGCATATGCATGTGTGTGCATAATGTATGTGTGTGTTCGTGTGTGTGCACATGCATGTGTGCGCCTCTGCGTTCATGTGTGTGCATATGCATGTGTGCCTATATGTGTTGGTGTGTGTGTGCATATGCATGTGCGTGCCTGTGTGCATAATGTATGTGTGCCTGTGTTCATGTGTGTGCATTCGTGTATATGTGCACATATACATGTGCGTGCCTGTGTGTGTTCGTGTTTGTGTGCGTGTACATGCCTGTGTGTGCACGTGTGTGTTTGTGTGTGCATATGCATGTGTGCCTGTGTGTGCACATGCCTGTGTGTGTGCATTTGTGTATGTGCGTGTCTGCGTTCATGTGTGTGCACATGTGTGTGCCTGTGGGTTTGTGTGCATATGCATGTGTGCGTTTGTGTGCACATGCCTGTGTGTGCATTTATGTATGTGCGTGCCTGTGTGCGTTCATGTATGTGCACATATGCCTGTGTATATGTATGCATTTGCCTGTGTGCGTTCCTATGTGTGCACATATGCCTCTGTGTGTGTGCATTTGTTTGTGGATATGTATGTGTGTGCCTGTGTGCGTTTGTGTGTGCATATACATGTGTGCCTGTGTGCGTTCGTGTGTGTGCATATACATGTGTGCATTTGTGTGCATATGTGCGTGCCTGTGTGCATTCGTGTGTGTGCGCATATGCCTGTGTGTGCCTGTGTGCATTTGTGTGTGCATATGTATGTGTGTGCCTGTGCGCATTTGTGTGTGCATATATGCGTGCCTGTGCACGTGCGTGTGTGTGTGTGCGCGCGCATGCACAAGCAACGGGCTAGCGTCAAGGTGGTTGAATGGGCAGCACCCTCAGGCCTCTGCGGCTTCTCTCTCCATGCGGCAGCTGAGCACCGTGGGCTGTCATAGGCCGGCTGGGAGGAATGTTTGAGCCAGCAGGGCCCTCTCTTGGTCTTGTCTTTGGAGGACGGGTTGACCACAGGATGGAGAAGGGCCTTTGCTCACTGCGGTGGCGCTGATTCCTGCCAGCAGGACTGGCCCGGGTCAGGGAATGGGTAGCTGGGATTGGAAGCGAAGCAGTGCCTTGTCCTGGCAGGGATGCTGGAGCCCTCTGCTCCTGTGGGCCTCCCACCTCGGAGAAGTTAGGGCAGCAACTGCTTCCACCCCAGCATCCTTCCCCCAGGGCCAACAGTGGCAGAATTTCTGCCCCAGGCACCCCCTAACCGCAGAGGTGTCTGCACAGTGTCCAGGAGGCCCTTGGCTGGGGGAGGTAATTGGCGCTGCGGGGCCCTCGCCAGCCGGGTGACTGGGGGCATACAAGGGACTGGGCAGGGCAGAGGGAAATAAATTAAGGTCGAGATTCAGAGCCTGAGATTCAGATGTGTCTGGGGGTCCTGGGGTGGTGGCTGTGCATGGGTCCGTCGTCCTTGGGGAGGGGGCATTGTGCCCTCTGATGGCCAGGTGGACAGAGTCCTGACTGCCTTGGTGGGTGTCCCCAGGGCTCACCCTGGGCAGGCTGCCTGCTCAGTCTCAGTGCCCTGCCTCTGGGCTCAGCTTTCTGCCACCGTTGTATCCCCTTGGGGCCCAGGGACACAGATTCCCACACCTGAGGCCTTGCTGAGTGGCGTTACGCTGTGCCCGGCGTCCAGCTCTGGAGGAATTCCAGGACAGCAGGACCCTCGCCCACCTCATGGGCAGGGAATTCCCAGTGTGGACCCAGGGGGTCAACCAGACAGGCGAAAGGGGCTGCTGCGTCCCAGGCCCAGGCGGCTGCTCCCCGCATGACTTCCCCCCTGGACACCTGCTAGTTTGGGGCATCCCTGGGGAGGTGGAGGATCTTGCCCCTGAGGGCGGGGAGGGACGGCCTGCAGTTTGCACACCCCTCTCCTTTATTTTAGAGATTTCTTAAAGCCAGGGAAGAGTAGCCCTGGCTCCCTTGACCTCTCTGCGATAGTGGGGTTCAGAAGGGCCTCCGCCAACACTCCGCGCAGGAGGGCCTAGCGGCCCGGGTGGGCGCCCCTCTCCCTCCCTCCACTGCCGCCCCTTGCGGCTTGCTGCTTCCCCGCCAGCTTCCCCCACGTCCTGGGGCAGTCACGGATGCAGCGCCTACTCCCCTCCCTAGACCTCACCCGCCCGGGTGATAAGCGTCTGGCCCTGCCAGCCTCGCCCTGTGGGCGCGCCCACCTGGGTTCCCTGCCGGGCCGTGGCCTCCCCAACTTCCGCAGTCGCATCTGCTGGAGGGTCGCGGTGACAGGCAGGGCAAGTGGGCATCCTCCAGGTCGGCCGAGAGGGGCAGGGCTTTCTAACTCTGTGCTGCAGTCCCCCGGGAGCCAGGAGGCCCAGCCGCACTCCCAGGGCCGGTTCCGGGCAGAGCTCACTGGGTCCCTGCGTTTTCGCGCTGCATTCTCTGGGGGAGGTCCTCCAGGTGTGGGTTCTGGGACCCGGCGTGTGCCCTCTGCTGGCCTCGCGGGCTCAGAGTCGGGGACACGCCTGCAGGTGCCTTCCCAGGGATGGGGGCACCCCACCCCACCCGGCAGCCTTTCCCCACTGAGCTGGGAAGAGCTCGGAGGCCCAGAGAAGTGGAGACTTCTTGCTCCCTCCCTCTGGTGAGGCCAAGGCCCTGGCCCCTTGGCTCCAATCCAGGCCCAGATGAGGCCCTTGGAGGTCCAGGCATGACCTAAGGGAAGGGCCCTAAGGGGAAGCCAAGTGCAAGCCCCATGCTGGCCAGCGGGGAGGCCCCGGAGATCCCTTGCAGGGGGCATCTCTGGGAGCTTTTTCTGGTCTGGGCTGCCAAGGATTGCGTTTAATTCCTGGTATTTCTGGGAGGCTGTAGAGGTCGGGGTGGATTCTGACATCTGGGCCCTTCATAGACAGAGATGAGCTCTCACAGGGGTCGTGGGTGGCCCCAGACAGTGCCCTGGCTACTCCCGCATGCTCTCGGGTATCCCCAATGGGTCAGACCACTGCTTGCTGCATGCCACTCCCACCCCACAGGTCAGCTGGTGCCTGCACCACCACACAGGCATGGCCCAGCTGACCTGTGGGACCTTAGAACCCGAGACCAACTGGGCAGTGCTTAGAAGGTGTGCAGCCCGGAGGAGTCCCAGGGGAACTGGGGCCTGGAGAGGGGCAGCATCTGGGGGTGGCTCAGGCCCGCAGCAGCCCGTGCTCCCACTGGCTCTGCCCACCTCCTGAGGATGGCATGGAGCACTGTGGCTGTGACGGCACAGCCAGGGCCATGCAGAGGGGGAGAGGAGCCTGAAAGCCAGGTCGCCTGGGCCAAAAGGACCCCAGCTCCTCAGCTAACCTCCTGTGTCCCAAGGGGACGGCAGGCAGTTGTCAGAGGAGGTGACGGGAATCCTGGAGCTGTGCGATTCCAGCAGGCCCAGGTACAAACACCCAGGAAGACCCCTTGGGCTAGACAGGCAGAGCCAGATGTATCCACCCTTGGAGGAAAGCGGGTTCCAACTCTGAGCTTCCTTTCCGCCCTAGGCGGGGAGTGACGCCTCCGGGGTTTGAGGGGAGAAGTTCCCTGGGCTAGAGAACAGGCTCTGATCTGAGACGCCAGGCTAGTTTGCAGCAGGTAAGGGGCCCGGGAGGTATTCCTCGCCCGTCTCTGTTTTCCTATCTGTGAAATGGGTCACAGGGGCTCTGGGTGAGAGGGAGGGCCAGGTGCCTAGAATGTGGTGTATTCAGCCTGGCTGTCCCAAAGGTCAGTGCTGTGGGGTCTTGGTGCCCAGGAAGGACAGCAGTCATCTCCACTCTCCACTAATTTATGTTTATACGTTTGGGGTGTGGAAGGCAGAGGGGCCCCTGGTGTGGTTCTCTCCCCTCAGACCCCTTGAGTGAGCTGTACCCCAGCAGCAGGAAGCAGGTGGAGGTGACACAGGCGGAGCCAGGCCCCGTCAGACAGGAGGCGCCTGAGGAGCGCCTCCCACCCTGCCGCCCTAGGCTCCGAGTTCCGTGTTGCAGAGGTCTCGGAAGCAGCAGAAGACCAGGTGGGAGTCCCCGATGCTGTCAGGGTCGGTGGCGATACAGGAGCTCGAGCAGGAGCGGGTCACCACGGGTCTCTGCTGGAAGGGGTACTCTGCAGGGTGGGCCAGCGTCAGAACCCACATGTGCCTGCAGTGCCTGCCTGCCGCTGCACTGCTCCCAACCGTGCCCCCGACCTTGCCCTCCCTGCGATCCCCCATCCCTAATGGCCCAGATCTGTGAAGCCTCCCAGGCCCAGCCTCCTCCAGCTGTGACCTGTTTATGAATTATAACACCAGGCCTTGTCGGACCGCCTTCAGTGCCCGCCCCAAGATGGCAGCCCAAACCCAGAAGCTGTGGCAACAGCACCTACTGGGTCTGTGCCAGAGCTGGGGTTTGAGCCCCACAGGGGACCCCAGGACTGGGTCTCAGGGGGCTGTGCCACCCTGATGGAAGGCATCCCTTCTAAAGGGTGGCAGCCTGTCCTGCCCTTCCCACCTCCTGCCTTTTGGGTCTAGAGGAGCACCAGCACAGGAGGGAGGCATGTCGGGAATGTGGCCCTGAGTCCAGGGCACCCAGGGCTGCTGCGGGCTGGGCCTCACCTGCCTCCACCGTCACCAGCTTGGTCGTGCAGGCTGTGTCCTTCGGCTTGCAGTAGGTAATGTTCTTGCAGAACACAACGTCTGTGGGCTGCTCACAGGTGTAGCAGCTCAAGGCCTCACCTGGGCGATGGGTGGAGGCAGAGCTCATCGCCTGGCCTCGGGGGCCTCAACCCAGAACCAGGAGGCCGGGCTGAAGGAGTCCCACTGACACCCTTCAAGGCCCCATTGGCTGAGCCACAGACTTGAATGCCACATCCCTCCACCAAGCCTCAGTCTCCCTCCCTGCAGAATGGAGTCATGACCCCTGTCTCAGGGTGAAGCTGGGCTCTGGGACCAGGAGGGTCACTGAGAATGAGGAGGGTGCGCCCCATGGACACCTAAGGAGGCCCTCAGCCACAAAGCTCCCCCAACAGCCCCAGCCCCCTAGGCAGTGGGCAGACAAGCTCGAGGCAGGGTCCCCACCAACCTGTGGCCCACTCACCAAAGCCCATGCTCCAGGCTGTCATGAGCAGCAGCTGCACAGCCCAGCGAGAGCCCATTCCTCCGTGCTCAGGAGCAGTGAGAGGCAGCTGGCCTCACATCAAGGGTTTATACCCAGCTCCTTGGGCAACAGGTCCTGGGCGGTGGTGGAACTGGCCATGTGAGTCAGGAAGGTGGTACAGGGCCCAGTGGGGAAGCAGCTGACAGGAACATGGCAGGCGGGCAGGGAGCTGGATCTGGGAGCTCTGTCTGAGGATGATGGCCCTGCCCTCTGCTTGCTCACCTCCAACACTGGGGAACTCGCCCCTCCCCAGCCATGTCCTGTGGTCCGGGGACAGCTCTGCAGAGAAGGCCTTTCCCACTGAGCTCAGGCTGCCCCTCTGATGAGCCCCATGTCCTGGCTGTGCCTCTGGGGTTCACATAGGCCACCCAGCTCCAGCCTTGGGGACTCTTAAGACCCGGGTTCAGTGTGGCTCTGCCCTCCTCGTTGCTCTAGCCCTGCCTGGCACCCCCTCCCTGCAGCCCCCTCCATACGCCTCTACCTGTTGTGCACCTGATACACACCTGCAAAGTGGAGGCCAGAGGCAGGAAGCAGGTGTCAGGTGAGGGTAGCATGGGCCAGCCAGACCTTGCTCAGGCTGACAAGGATGGGCCCAGGAGTGGCCCTCATCACTGCCAGCCCCTTCCCACCAATGACCTTTAGACCAAGCCTCAGTGTCTTGGTTTTAAGTGCCTGACAGCAGGGCTCTGCCCACCCTCCAGCCTCCTGGCCTCTGTTGTCTGCTCTTCACCGCCTGTCTCCCACCACATGCTGTTCCTTCCCCATGCCTGCCTATGCCCACTTCTCAGTGAGCACATTGCCTGGTCTCCCA